TTCTTTTGCTTTGATTCTTTAATAAATAGATTCATTGGAGAACATTTAAAGCGTGCACCTCGTGGTTCGCTGCAGATTATAAATAACGAGTTATTTTATAAAAAAGATATTTACATCTAAAATCCATATTTTATGACTATTTGACCTAATTTTCTTTTCAGTTTTTTTTCAGTTTTTCATTCAATCTTTTTGGTTCGATAATCTAAATATATAAAAATATATGTATATATATTAAAAATGTGATAAAAAACTATGTTTGTAATATTGTTTACCTTAGCAACGCCGTAGCAACCACAAACATACCTTCGTTTACTATATGTTGAGCAAAACCTGCAAGCTAATTTGTAATTTTGTTTTGTCTACTATGCTTTTTATTGTTTATTTATCAACTTCGCTTATAAAAAAATTTGAATGTCGAGAGTTTTGTTGAAACACGATTCAAGGATTCATGCTGTTACGGTGTAGCGTTTTTAAATTACTGCGTTAAAATTTTACTGCGCGGAAGTTTTCAACCGTTCAAACTTTTTTTGCGGCAAAATAATTATACTGGGGCAGTAATATTTTAACGTTAAAATTTTACTTCACTCGTTATAATTTTACTGGCTTTTTAGTTTACAATTTATATAGCTTATTTTGTTAAGATGTACAAAAATATTAACTTTAATGATGTCAGGAAATATTTAAATGACAATGCTTTTCCTGAAGATGTGAATGAAAGAGGAAAAGAATCAAATTTTAAACGGCAGTGTAAAAACTTTGTTATTGTTGACAATAAGTTGATGTATTCCAAAAAAGGTATTGGCGAGGTTAGGAAAACTTGTTTTTATAAAAGAAGTTTTTACTTAATTTAAAAGATTTTACTTAAATAAAATAAAGTAATTAAACAATATTCTGTATTGTGCATTATTTTGAACACAACATCTTTCAAATATTCGAAAATTAATAGCTTTAAAATAACTCAAAATAATGTAAAAATTTCATACAAATAATTTTTTTTTATTGTAGGTGATTGTGGTAATAAATCGGGAAGAATAATTAAGCATTGTTAAAGAAGTCCATGAGGGCCTCGGTACTTCTGAGAAAGCTGTTGCATTAGCTAGCCACCTAGGAATTAATGCTGTAAGAAAGCAAATTTCTTCAAGATTTTTTCGGCATTCAATTGTGAAGGATATCACCAAACATGTAGCTCAATGTGAACGATGCCAAAAAACCTCTAACAGAAACCTAAAAGTGTCTCCTGCTTTAAAACCTGTTAAAGTAGAACAACAAGTTATGAAACAAGTTGGTGTAGATTTAATTAAATTACCTGAATCAAATGGATTCAATTATGAAATTATCCTTATAGATTATTTTTCTAAGTAGACTGAAGCTGAACCTCTTATCGATAAAACAACAGTATCAGTAGCAGCGTTTCTTTATAGAATTATTTGCAGGCATGGTTGCTTCCAAATACAAATTAATGACCAAGGTCGTGAATTTGTAAATTCAGTATCCATTGCACTACATGATATGACAGGCATTCAGCAACGTGTAACCTCTGCTAACCACCCACAAGCCAATGGCCTTGTGGAGAGACAGAACCAGACAATTAATAAAGCAATTGTTAAGGTCTCAAATGAAAATGTTAAAAGTTGCGCCTCAGTTTTATATGGAATCCTTTTTGTTTGACGTGTTAAAGTGCACGATTCAATGGGGTATTCACCATTTTACCTTATGTATAACCGACAACCCTATTTTCCAATTAATGTAAAGTACACAAATGTACACAATGGGGATAATTACAATCCTGTGTATGATAAAGAAGTTTTACAAAAAGCTTTACAAATGAAAAAAGGACTTGAAGAAAAAACCATGACCAATATTGTTTGTGCACAAAAGAAACAAAAAATTGACTATGATAGAAATATTTATAATGCCAGATCTTTTTGATGGAGAAGAAAATGATGTACCTTCAAAAATACATGTTTGCAAAGGTGATGGTAATTGTTTTTTTCGAGCAATTTCGTTTTTGCTGACAGGTTCTAAGTGTCAGCATACACGTGTTTGCGATGTTGTTGTTAAACATATGGTATCAAAGCCTTGTTTCAGTCTTTTGTCCGGATATTTAGGCGATGATTTGAAAACTACATTACCAAAAGTGGTATGGCCACAAATAGTATATAGGCTACAGATGTTGAGATCCTTGGTACTGCAAATCTTATAGGAATTGACATTGCTGTATGGTCCTTTACTGGACAAAAACTAGCATGGCTCAAATATCCAGCATATATTAAACTCGACCAACTAACAGCGCATAATATTTTTTTAGAAAATAAAAACAATCATTATAACGTTGTTTTGTCACTAAAAGCTTTGTAAATGAAATGATGTTTATACTGAACTAAAATGATGTTCATATATCAGTTGTTTTACAAGGTTGTTTGTTATAAAAAAATAAATAATTTGCTTAAGGTTGCATATTCTTTAAAACTTGAAAAAACTTTTTTGCTATAAAACTCTACAGAAGTGATTTTATGGATCGCTAGGCTATTTAATTTATTCTAAGATTAGATTTTGTCGCACAATAAAGGAAAATCGCTTTACTTGATGACAGTAAAATTATAACGAGCGCAGTAAAATTATAACGTTAAAATATTACTGTCTCAGTAATATTTTAACGTTATTATTTTAACGCAAAGGAAGTTTGAATGGTTGAAGACTTCCGCGCAGTAAAATTTTAACACAGTAATTTAAAAACGCTACAACGGTTGTATTAAACCCTATTGTTGTTAGTATTGGACTAAAGATTTATTATTAATTAGTAATAAATTATAAATAATAAATAAGAAAATGAACTTTTAAAAAACAATTAAACAAAAAAATAAAGCTGTTTTTGCAAACGTTTTTCTAATTACAGATATTCCAAATCCTGAGAAACACAATTTGTTTCCAATATGAATTATTTAAAATCAAAATAATTTTGAATAATTCATCAAAATAATTCATTTTGATGCAAATATTGGACTCCAAGTAAAACTTATTAACCAAATATATCTATTCCTCTATCAATCAAAAATCTCATTACACCCATTTTATGGATTTACAGAAAGATGAATTACTGTTGAAATGTTTGCATGGTCGAACAAAGTTTTAATGAAGCGCTCAACTCACTCATATGGTTTAAGGTACCTAAAATCACATTTGTTAGTAAGATGTTGTGGAAATGGGTGTAAACTCTGCTATTTTTCATTTCAATGATGGTAAAAATTTGGTATTAAAAGGATTACAGCATTTTGATATACAAGAAAATGTTACACAATTGACAACAAGTTTAACAACAATATATAAGTAAAACAAATGAAACGTAAAACTACTATTACGTTAAAGAAACAGGGAAAAAAACTAAAAGCAATAAAAAAAAGGATTCAGTAAGTATTATAAGCAAAGGAACCTCAAAACTCATATGTTTCAGAAAAGTTTTATCATGGTTTTACTGTTTAAATGTGATTAATTCTTTATTTTGTATTTATTTTTGTTTTTTCTGCAAGTTGAGTTTTTCATATTTTATAAAGATTTCAAAACATAATTATTTCTGATTGAATAATGCTTTTGTTCTGATATTTTCAGAACATATTCCTAACAACATTAGAATTCATTTGAGAGATTTTATTTAACTATTTTTAAAACTCATTATTTTTAGTTTTAACTTCTTTAAACTGCTTGTAAATGGTACAAATTTTAACTTATCTTAAAAAAAAGGTCATATCTTTACATATAAAGGAACTAATTAAAAATCTATCTGTTAAATGGAGTAGATTAATGTCATCAACAGATCTGGAAAGTTTGATTCATAGTTCTTAAGTCTAACTCGAGATAACGTGTTTTAAAAACATAAGAATTAGGTCTTTATTTACACTGTTTTTGCGCCATTATGGATTTTTGGTAAAGTTTAAAAAAAAAAAATTTTGGCAAAAATATTTCATTTTTCTTAGTGAAGCAGTTCTGCATATTTTAACACATTTTTTAAAATTTTTCATTAAAAGTGTCTTTTTTGTGCTCTACCACCTTAAGAATTGAAAGGGTAATAAAAAACAAAATAATTATCTTTTTCAATATCATAAAGTATTCGAATAGTTGAGTTTGATTTTCCTTTTTACTAGAACAGCTACTAGCTGCTTGAGTTGTAGACGATGATGAGATAGAGGAAGAAGATGATTTTTTATTTCCAACAACATCATTCTATTTTCGTTTTATCCTTCTTGGTAAATTTTGTTTACTTTTATTTCCTTCTTTATTCATTTAAAAATAACTTTATTCCAACTAAATTGAGGTAAACTATATAATACTTGAAATTAGTTATATAGTTTATTCCGTCGTATTTTAGTTTTTCGAGCAGAATTTCATGGTCGACAGTATTGAAAGCCTTCGACAAGCCAATAAAAACACAAAACGTAAAATGTTGTAAATAATTAAATTACAATATGAAGAAAAAATTGAATTATGAAATATAGTAGTGAAGAACGGTATTGAATAAAGATTTAAAATGTAATTCGCAATCAAATCGTAGTCTCAACTAAATTGACAATTTTTGATCAGTTCTTCCATGTTGTATAAAATCAACTTCCTCATTGCTATATAAAAGTTTATTATTGATAACCAGTAGTGGCCAAGAGGCATTATTATGAGCACAAACGGTTCTGGGCACCATTATAAAAGGAAATAAAATATTAAAAAATTTTTTTTATAAATATATATAAATATTAAATTAATTTATTTTTAAATATAAGTAATTATGAAATGTCTGAGTTATATTTAAAAAAAAAGCGCTTTTTTATCATTTTAGCCCGAGAGTCCATTAACCCGCTCTACGCCATTGATAATAACGACCGTTTTATAAGCTACAAAATTCCTGATTTTATGTTGTCAAAATGTAAATACATTTTGTATATTAAAAGTTTGAGAACGGAGTTTGTATAATAACAAAGAACTAAAAATGGAATAAAACAGAAAACAAATTAGTATAAAGAAGTATATACATATATTTACAAACAAAATCTACAAATAGTATAAACCTATAAAGTGTATAAATTACTATCAGTAGCTACATGTAAATATTACATATAAATATATTCCCTCCTCTCTCTCTTCTGCCATAGTGTCTTCTTCTTCTGCTGCCTCGCCTCCAATAGTCTTCAGCATTCTGGTCAGGAAGATTGTTGTTCCAACTCAAGTTCTGCCTATCTTGCCCACCATGCTCAACCCATCTCAAAAACGATCGGTTTGAGTGGGGTCCGGGGTTTTGAGTGCGATACCGTATAAAGTTCTCATACGTCAGTTCTAAAAGTAAAACGTATATCAGCCCTCGAAATTATATATAAAAAGTAAAATATACATCAGCGGAATTAGGGTCGGCATTGACAGTGCTTGATAATCATAATTTTATTTCAAATAAATTAAAATCGGCAAAACAAAGGTTTAATTTAAATTTTAAATATCATAATTAAAATAAAAACAGCAAAACAAACGTTTTACTGTTTTTATTTGGTTTTAATTCAGAATTTTTTTTTTGATGAATTTGTTTTTGGAACGTTTATAATTCTAAATTAAAAAATCAAAAGAAAAAAAAACTTATTTATTTAAATAAATTTAATTAAATTCTAAATTAAAAACGATAAAAGTAACTTTTTTCATTTAATTCAGAATAAAATTAAAAAAAAAAAAACTAACATTTTATTCAAATCCATTGCAAAACAATTATAAGAAAAAACGAACGTTTATCAAACGTCTTTTATCAAGTTTTAAGCTAATGTCTACGTTTGATAGGAATGATATACCGAATTTTGTTTCTCAATTTTTGCGGATTTATAACAGTTTTAGAACTGCTTTTTCCTAATTCCGACGGTTGATATATATATATATATATATATATATATATATATATATATATATATATATATATATATATATATATATATATATATATATCAACCGAGGGGCATCAGGGGCATTTACCCCCTCCCAATAATTTTTTAAATAAACAATTTTAAAGAATCGACTAAAAAAAAAAGTCTTCAAGGTAGTACTGCTCCTCCAATATAATTTTTGTTGCTACGGCCTTAGCTCCCACACTCCCCTGAAACAGTTTACGAGAGCTATTTACGACTCTCGCTAAAGTATAATTTTTCTCATAAATGTATAATTATCATTTTAAATAAAATAATAACACAATGTCATTTAGAAAAAATTAATTACATAATATACTGAAATGCTTTTAAGAAAAAACGGTTGTTGCAAAAAAAAAAATTAAAATTAAAAAAAAGCGCCGATTTAAATAAGGAGCAGCTCGCACAGCTCCCGAAGTACGTTTTAGGAGAGCTTTTCTCCGCTCTCGTACTCATTAATTCCCGCCGAGGCCTGTATTATATATATTTGCATGAAAAAAATATATTTTGTCAGAACTTCATAAATTTTGAATTATGCCAAAAAAAGTTTTTAAACATTTTTCAAAGTTATAATATTTTAAAGTTAAACATTTTTCGCAGTATAAACATTTTTCAAAGTTATAATATAAAGTTATGATATAATATAAGTTATAATATATATAATATGCAACATTATTACTGGTACCAGAAGGACGTACAACTAAAGATTACAAAAAAAATTTTTAAACCTTATAAAATTTAACTGAAATTGACAACACTATAATTTACAAACTTACCAGTGGGAGCAGAAGATGCAACCAGAGCTTCAAAAAAAAAAAAAAAAAAAAAAAAAAAAACAACAGGTCAACAATTTTAAAGTTTATATAATTAATCATCAAATTTTAAAATAACTACTTTTATTATATAAATTACAAAAATATTTTAAATTTGAGCCAAAATAAGTTTATGTACATTTTTGAAAGTTATAATTTGTAAACTTACCAGTGGAAGCAGGAGGCACAACTAAAATTTACAAAAAATAAAATTTCAAACCTTATAAATAAAGAATTAAAAATTTCAAACCTTATAAAAATTAAGAATAACTGAAATTGACAACACTAAAATTTACAAACATACCAGTGGCAGCAGATGAAGAAACAACTAAAGCTTACAAAAAAAAATGTCAAAAATTTTTAATTTTATATAACTAATAATCAAATAAAACATTTTACTTTCAAAATTACGAAAATTATTTTGAAATATGCCAAAATAAATTTATGAATATTTTGAAAGTTATACTTGATAAACTTACCAGTGGAAGCAGGAGGCTCAACTAAAAAATAAAAATAAAATATTACAAATTTTTTACAGTAATCCTGCAGTTAAACTGCCTAAAATATTTTCATTTTATTATTATAATAAAATGGTATAGTGTAAATACCACATTAATAAAAAAAAGGAGAATAAATAATAATTATTATAATTAATAAAAAAGATATTGAAAATATTAATAATATTTAAAACAAAAATTTTAAGATGCTATTAAAATCTTTACAAACAAGAGGGCTAAAATAATTTTAATTTAGGTTGTTTAAGTGCAGAATTACTTCTTGTAAAAACTTATCTTTAGATCGAAACACTAGAAATTACAAACTTACCAGTGATAGCAGAGAGAGACATAACTAAAAATTAATATATATATATATATATATATATATATATATATACATATATATATATATATATATACATATATATATATATATATATATATATTATATATATATATACATACATACATACATACATATATATATATATATATATATATATATATATATATATATATACATATATATATATATATATATATATATATATATATATATATATATATATATATATATATATATATATATATATATATGTGTGTACATAAATATATATACATATATGAAAAAGGACATAAAAATTGTTTGCAACTATAAATTATTATCAAATATTATTAAAGTTTTTATCTTAATAATTTGTTAAAAATTTTAAAAAAGCAAATATCTAAATTTTATAACTAAGTAACATCATTAATGTTTATTTTACTTACAGAGTTGCTGCAAATCATCTAAAAAAAGATTTAATTTTTTTTAGAAAATTATAAGTAAAGTTATATATAAAATATTTACACACCATGCAAACAACCAACTAAATTATTAGAAAAAATAACGCCATTGTTGATGGCAACACTAGGCTTAACTGTTTTTCATACAATGAATTAGTGATATAATCAAAATAAACTTTTCTTACTCAATCTTTTCTCTAATCGATCTATGTAAAAACAATGTAATACTAATTTAAACAACATTGTAAACAACAATATGAAATCATAAAAGAAACTTATGTTAATAAGAAACAGAAATAAAAGATAAGTAAATAGAAGTAGAAAGCAGTAAAGACATATGAAAGTAAGGTGGTTATAAAAATTTCACATAAATATATTACTACTTTGGTAAATTGTTTAATAGTCAATCTTTTTTAATTTTTTTGCATTTAATTTTTAGGATTTTTTTCGTAAAACTACAAAATTTTGAATGAACAGAGGATTTTAGAGGATTTTTTTTATAGGTTTAACGTCTATGTTTCCACATAACAGGGGTCAACAATGTCATTTTTTATGTTAGATGACATGGATTTGCTAAATTTGATTTTTTACGGCCCAATCCTCATTTCAGACATTAACCAGTTTTGCAGACCATTAATTTTGAGCATTATACTACCATCAAGAAATAAAAAAATTAACAAGAGTAGTTTAAGAGGACATTTTATCACATTAACTTTTTAGAGGATAGTAGAGGATTTTAGAAGTTTTTGAAATAAGAAGACTTTTTTAAATAACAATAACTATAACACAAAAATGATTTTAGAGGAGCTGTAGCCACCCTGTAAATACTAAAACACTGAAAAAAATAATTAAACACAAGAATGCTAACCTAATCTTTGTGAAATATGATCATCTAAATAAACAAATTAATAAACACTTTGAAAATGTTATAATTTTATCTATAGATTACTTAATAAAAGTCAAAATACAAACTAAAAGTTCTTGACAAGTTAATCTAACTAGCTGATTATACCTTCTTGGTCACAACAAACTTCTTTACTCATTTTATTTGACTAAATATAATAAAACTGTTATATTTATTAAGGAAAAGACTAGGTTCCATTCCATTTCCCATCCTTTGGCCTGCTAAACTCAAGGAGGAATAAATGAAATTTAATATTAAAAGTGCTTGAAAAAATAAATCAATGAAATTTAGGGAAAAAATAGGATTCAACATTTACTAAATGCATAAAAGAAATTAAGTTTTTTTTACTAAATTATATATATATATATATATATATATATATATATATATATATATATATATATATATATATATATATATATATATATATATATATATATATATATTGAATGTTGTAACAGCATAAAATAAGTATTTCTAAAATAAACATTTGAATAAAGTAATTTTAATACCTAAAATAAACACGATATTTTAAAATCTTAACATGTTTTGTAATTTTGCATTACATTGTCAAAAGATTATTTATATTATTAAAAAACTTAGAGTAAATATTAAAAAAGGGAAGAAAATTTCTCTGTAGAATATTTTTTCTGAAGAATTTCCCTGAAGAATTTTTCTTCTGTTTTTATTGTAAAAAAATAATTTTTTGAAGATGTAATGCGAAATTACAAAACATTTGATTTGATATTAAATCTTGATGATTTAAAAATATCGCGTTATTTTTAAAAATACTAACTTATTTTATGCTATTAATAATATTTGTCAAAATGCACATATTATTAAAATATGTATGTTAATTCTAAAAAATATCACAAGAAAACGCGCTTTTCCTCACTGACGAAAATGTAGTTTTGAAAAAGCGAGGTACTATTTTTGCACAAAATATGGTTCCGTGAATTAAACGCAATTACCGCGAATTAGTCAGAGTCCTTACTATTGCGCGGAATACTAAATCATATGACTCTAGATTTAATACAGCGATATGCGGATGACAATACTTGAAAACATCGTATATCTTTTTAAATGGATAAATTACTATTACATTGTCAAGCTAAATTTAACAAGTTTTTTTTTCCAGAAAAATATGAACAAGGTAAATTTACATTGAATATATTACTGGTAGGACTTCCAGAAGATCACATGATCTTATCATGAAGCCCTTTACAATCTATATAACGAATTAAAAGGTAGAAAATTTACAAATATTAAAAATTACATAAGCGTTAGAATATTCTTCAGATGCTAAGCAAGTTTTAACATAATATTTTATAATGTGGATATATAACATTCTCAATATTGAACAATATTATAATATAAAGTATTCAGCATATATTGTTTAAATAATATTCATCACACAGTCGACAAAAATATCAAATAACTTGAAATACTAAAAATAAATAAATATATTTTGTGTTGAAAAGATTATTTCTTTTGTTTTCTTTTTAAAAGAGGAATAAGACCATTTAAAAGAAAAATCAAAGTTAGGTAAAACTATTTTATTCCAAAGAAATGGACCACGATAAGAAATACAAAACTGGTCAATTTTTGTTTTGCAAAACGGCTATTGAATATTTTTACTATCACGAAGTTCATATTTATTTTTTGGTTTCAAATTATAGAGATTTATAAATACACTTGGAGATAAATTTTCTTTACATTTAAACATAAAACATAAAATATTAAAAATATTTAGTTAGTATATATTTAAAGCTTTCATTTCTATAAGAAGTGGTGTTGAGCTTGAAAAACGATTTCCAAAATTAATTATGCGAGCTGCATGTTTCTGATGCCGATAGAGAGACTTAAGTTTGGTTTTGTGAGCGCTTCCCCATATAATATTGGCATAGTTTATATGGCAATGAATAAATGAATAATATAGTTGAGTTAGTTGCTTTTTATTTAGTATATATCGAGCTTTGTATAGAACTCCAATGTTTTTAGCAACTTTCATTAAAATACTATCAATTTGCTAACTACAAGATAAGTTTTCATCTATTATGACTCCTAAAAATCTTGTAAATTTTTCTCTTTGTATGATTGTATTGTCAATGAATAAGTCAGGTAAGATATTTTGGATTCTCTTTTTTTTAGAGGTTGGGTGAAAAAGTAAACTTTGTTTTATCCGTATTCAAGGACAATTTTTTTTTTCTAAACCAATATGATATTCTTTTTAATTCATTATTCATATTATTAAAAAGTATTTCTATGTTTTCGTGCGACTGAAATAAATTCGTATCATCTGCAAAATTTATGGTCGTTAGGGTAGAAGCTTTGTAAAGATCATTTATGTATAATAGAAATAATAGTGGTCCAAGTATGGACCCTTGGGGGACACCGCATGTTATTTTTTATTATTTGCGACAAAGATTCTTTGTTATAAACAAATTGTTTGCGGTTACTTAGATAGCTTTTGAACCAATTTAGGGTTTTATCTTTTATACCATAGCTCTCTAGTTTTTTTATTAAAATATGATGATTAACAGTATCAAAATCTTTTGACAAGTCAATGAATATGCCTAGTGTGAATTGAGAATTCTTAAATGAATCGGCAATACTGCGTGTTACTTGGAGAATAGCGTGTTCAGTAGAACTGTTTCTCTGAAAACCAAATTGATTTTTATAAAGGAGTTTATTATCAATAAGATAAGTGTAAATTCTATTATACATTATTCTTTCTAATATTTTTGAAAAGACCGGTAGAACTGAGATAGGACGATAGTTTGTTATGTTGGTATGGTCACCTGTTTTAAAGATTGGAGTTACTTTGGCTACTTTCAAACTATTTGGAAACGGTCCTTGAGTAATAGATGCTTTGAAGACTTTGAAGAGGATATCTTTAATCTCATTAAAAGAGTCGATTACAATATTTCCATTTATATCATCAGGCCCTATTGCTTTATTCCTTTTTAATGATTTAAATGCAATTTCGAATTCATTATAAGTTAGATTTGAAAAATTTATAGTTGAATTTGGTGATGATATAAATTCATCAACAGAGTTGTTGTCTACATAAGGAATCTTGTTTGATAGGTTATGTTCTATTGACGAAAAAAAGTTATTGAGTTCGGCTGCGATTTCATTTGAATCGGTAACTTATTTTCAAATTTTATAGCATTCGGCATCGTATTTGTGTTTGTCTTATGTTTGCTAGTAATTTCTTTCATTATTTGCCACACCCGCCCTGAATTATGCTTGTGTTTTATAAGCAAGTCAGAGTAGTAAATTTGTTTGGCTTTTTTTTTGGAGTTTTTCAAATAGATTTTTGTAAACTGTTTAGTTATTTTTATGTTTGTCGGATTTATTTTTAAGATATTTAATATAGAGTTTTTGTTTTATTTTTGATGATTTTTTTATTCCTTTAGTTATCCAATGACAAGATATGTCTTTGGCGTTAAGAACTATTTCTCGAATAGGCCTATTCGAGAAATAGTATATAAAGCAAAATATATAAAGCAAATTTTCCTATAGGAAAAAAAATTTAAGTTATTGTTGCTATAAATTCGTTTTTTTAATGTTATTTTACCATTCGTATTTGTTTTGTGGTCAGCGATAGCAGAAAAAAATTGGAAAGTGATCCGAAACATCAGTTTTTATAATACCTTTTTTGAGTGTAATATTGAAATAGTCATTGGTAAGAACGTTGTCAATTAAGGAGGATGAAGACTTTGTAATTCTAGTAGGTTTATTTATAATGGGTATTGTTCCCGTTTCAAATAAATGATTATAAAACTTTGTTATATATTTTTTTTCATTATACTGGAAGCAGTCAAGGTTGAAATCCCCCAGTATATAATTTTTTTTCTTTTCTTGGCTAGTTTTTTCTATTATATTATGAACTAGATAATTGCTTAGGTACTCAGTTCTTCCGGTTGGTGGCCGATAACAGCAGCTTAGTAAAATATTTTTAGATTTTTTATTTATTATTTCAACCGTTAAAATCTCAATATTATCATCAGAAACACTCATATCGCTTCGAATATTATACGCAAGGTTTTCTTTTATGTAAAAAAGAACTCCTCCTCCACACTTATTAACATTACGCTCTAAGAAGGCTGTATTGAAACCTGTAAGATGGAGATTAGAGTTTGATTTAAAATCTTCCTCTGTACACCAAGTTTCAGTTAAGCAAATAACGTTAAAAAAATTTTCCGTGTGACAAATCATATTTAAAAAGTTAACAAATTTTTTTTTTAAACTTCTGATATTAATGTCGATTATATTAAAATAATCACGATTATCATTATTTTTAAATATGCTTTTAATTTTATCTGGATAAAAGTAAGAGCATTCGAATTTTGATCCATTAATCTCATTAAAATAATTAATATCTGGATCAGATTCATTGTCTAAATTAAAAGTATTTGTTTGAAATAAATTTGATATTTTTTCAAAATCATTCCGATAAGTTGAATCCATTTTGTATGTTTTTGTTATTTTGAAAATATTTGAAGGTTTTTATATACACTGGTATATATGTACGCACACATGTGAACATATTACATATATATATATATATATATATATATATATATATATATATATATATATATATATATATATATATATATATATATATATATATATATATATATATATATATATATATATATATATATATATATATATATATATAACCCTTTTTTTTTGTTTTTGTTTTTTTGATAATTAGATAGTCTTTTCGAAAGACTTGGTGATTAATTTATTATAAACAACTTTGGCAAAATTACCTGATGAACGTATTTCTTTGGCTTTAATGAATAGTTGTTTGCGAATGTTGATTGTTCTCTCACTAAAATCTTCATAAATATACATCTTTTCGTTCCATAATTTCAGCTTTTTGTAGTTATCTAGTACAGTTTCACGATCTTTATAATCTAGAAATTTAACTATTATAGTTCTTCTTCTTCTTATTTTGTCTTCTTTCTTCCCGGTTTTGTGCGCACGTTCTATATGTGTTTCTTCGTTTATATTTATTTTTTCTTTTATTAGCTTTTTCACTTTCTCCTCACTGTTTTTCCGCGTTTCTCCTTCAGTTTCCTCGATTCCTTCAAACCGAAGGTTGTTATGACGACTTCTGTCCTCTAACTCTGCCATCTTGTCTTTAAGATATTCGTTTTCAAGATTTGTTGCTTTTTGTTTAAAATTGTCTTGAGGGGATATTTTATTTTTATTATTTTATATTATAAGTTTATTCTTTTTGTAATATTATTTTGTTGCTGTGATATTTTATTAATAGTTTTATAATTTGTGTTTATAAATAAAATAAATTTATTTTATAAATAGTTTATAAACGAAATAGTTTATAAATAGTTAATGAATAAAATAGTTTATAAATAAACTTTATAGTTAATAAAAATATAGTTTGTAGTTATAGTTCATAAATATAGTTTATAGTTATAAAAATAGTTTATAGTTTATAAACTGTATAGTTTATAAATAAAAAAAGAAATAGTTTATAAATAAAATAAATGTGTTTATAAATAAAAATAATTTTTTTTTATTGCCTTTGCTCCATGTACTCGTTCGTCTTAAACGCAAAACAATAAACAAACGTATGTTATCCATTTAAAAAGATATACGCGCCATATATCCAAAATGTTGTTTTCAAGCATTACTTTCGTCATCCGCATATCGCATTTTGTGGTCGATACTTCTTTCCAGTGAGCAAATCAAGGTTTCGCTTTTTTGTAAAATCATGACTCGAATTATTTAAATTTATTTAACCGTTTATACCCATTTTTTTACAATAATTTGCGATAGATAAATAATTTAATATGTTTATTTTAGTAAATAATTATTTTAATATATTATAGCAAAATTCGTTATAAGTTATCACTATTAAAAACGAATTCGGTATACAAGCACTTATTATATTCGGGTCACGATTTTATAAAAACGCAAAACCTGGATTTGCTCACTGGAATAACTCGTACAAAAATTAGAATGTCCACACAAAATATAAGTTATAAGTTATAACGAGTTTTGCTATAATATATTAAAAATAATTATTTACTATAACAAACATATTAAATTATTAACTTTTATAGACACTTTCATTTTATAGACTAAAATATTGATTTGCTATTTAATGTGTGGTTTAATGAGTTATTTAATGAGTTTATGCATAATATGAATATATCAAAATTTCCGAATCAAAATTTGCGAATATTTTGTAAATATTCGCAAATATAAAAATCAGTTAACTAAAGAATTGAAAATTTTAAATAACAAGTGTACAAGGCAGCCATATAGTCAGTCGTTTGAAAATTCTAAAAAAGGATTGTTTTATCCCAAACAAGAAGATAGTAAATATTATGTTGCTTTATGGTAAAACCCTATTACTAAAGTTGATGGTGGTATATATTTCCAGCCAGAAAATAATATAAACTGATCTTGTTTTAGATTTTTTTTAATTTATTTTTACTTACACTTTATTAGTCCTAAAACTGAAACAAATAAAAAACAGTTCTCTGATGTTTCTTTTACAGAAAAAGTTAATTCTGCAAAACATATCAAAATCCAATCTAAAATTAACTTTAAAGAAGACAATGCTTTTATAGAGTTGCCATTTGAACTTCTGTAGATTCTAAAATATTTGAGTAATTAGATTCCAACTCTTTATATAAAAACTCAAACTCTTTATATGAAGTTTAACATATCTAACCCATAATAAACTTTTAACCGCTAGCAAAGACGATGCAACTTTTTTAGATATGGTAAACAAAGTATTTTGTCCTAATTCTATATTTATTTTTCCAATATCTATAAATACAAAGTGATCATTTAAAATTGAATGGCTCAGCCACTTTTTATGGTTGGCTTATTCTAGCAAAGGAGATGGAGCTTACTGTTTTTCTTGTACTTTGCTAGGTGCTAGTATTCCAAATAAGTCTGGAATATTAAATTTAGTTTTCAAGCCTCATCAAGAATAGAGTAATGCTTTTCATAATTTTAAAAAATATAAGTTGTGTTTTACATAAAAAGTCTATGCTTTCATTTAACGCAATATGTTCAGGTCGCAACTCCAAAAGTAATGTTATTGAGGTTGATTTAAATAATTCTCGTTTAAAACCTTTTTCTGATAACTGAAAAAAACTAGTTCCAATCATTAAAACGATGATGTTTCTTGGAAGAAATGATCTAGCATTTCGTGGACATTGTGATGACACCAAATATCATCCTAATATTGGGGAATCTTCTACACAAAAGTTTGGAAAATGTAATTTCATAAAGCTTTTAAATTTTCGCGTTGATGCTGGTGATTAAATATTAGCTAATCATTTTTTTTCAAGTCCAAAAAATGCAACCTTTATATCAAAAACTATCCAAAACCAACTTATTGGTTTTTTTGGGAAAACAATAGAAGTAGTTTTAATAAAAAATGTATTCTTTTCAATTTTTTGTGATGAGGCATTGGCTGTTCAAATACTGACCAAATGTCACTTGTTTTAAGATATGTAAATTCAAATAATGAGATTTGCAAGGATTTCTTAAGATTTATTGATTGCAAGACTGGTACATCTGATCTTAGTATATCTCTAAATTAACTTAATACACTTAAAGAGACTTTTTGGACTTTAAATTCAAATTCTAGCGGCCAAGAATATGATGGTGCAGGATTTATGGCAGGTGAATATAAAGGATTTGCTTCTCAAATAAAAGCTCTTAATCATAAAGCTATTTTTGTTCATTGTGCTAGCCATAGTTTAGTTGTAGCAGCTGCATGCCAAGTTCAAAAAGTGAAAGATCTTTGTGGCCTAATAAAAGAAATTTCTTATTTTTCTAATTTATCTCCTAATCGTAGTAACTGTCTTAAAAATATTTAAGTCTAGACCAGGAAAAATAATAGACACTTTTTGAACAAGAGGGATTTAAAAGGTGAGAAATCTTGATTTTTTTTTCTTTTTTTTTTTTTGGATAGTTTTATAATTGTTATTCATGGTACACAGGAAATAATGAATTAAATGAATCAAAGAAATGCAACAGTGAAACTGCTTCCAAATCCTCTTCTTTTTTAAGATTATTTACAGATTTCTCTTTTATTGTAAGTTTAGTTATAAAAAAACAGTTAAAGGATTTTTCATGCAATTACTGTAACACTTCAAACTAAATCTTTTGACATATCCGCGCAATGTTTTGAAATAACTAGTCTAAAAAATCTGTTATTAAAATAAAAAAAAATTTATATACATTATACTGAAAGGTACGCAAAGCTATTGCTTTTAGTTTGGCTTTTGGTTTTAGCCTTGATATCCAAGTGAAGTGAGACCGAGATTGTGCAATTTCCAGGTTTACCGGGATAATTATCCAACAAATACAGTTTGTGACTATTTTAAACATAGTAGAACTTCTCCATTAATTGAAAATCTTATTAATGAGCTAGATAATAGGTTTCCAGAAAATGGTATGTTAAATCATAAAGGTCTAGCAGCAGTTCCTTCAACTGTACTGTCCAGAATGCAAGTTAAGAAAATATAGAAATCTGATTTTTATGAATTTTTAAATTTCTATTCATCTGATATGCCTCATTTTACTTCAATATATGCTGTGTTAGATTTATAGGAACTATTTTTGAAAAACCAGTCAAATATTCCTTTAACTGTATCTGGTATTTTAAAGGCCATTGGCACGAGAAGTTTTCTAAATATTATACATAATAGAAAGTTTTGAAGAAAGTTTCATATATGTTGTTTGCAGTATTTTTTATGTTAATATTATTCCAATGGAGTGAGAAAAGTTGGTCTATGAATAAATTAAAGTTATTCTGATTAATGATACGTTTCTTCAATACTTTTTTTATTGTCAATGTTTTTTGTTATATATGTATCAATTGTTACAAAAATAGAAAATGGTTCGTTATATCAGTTTTTAAAAAACTTTTTTTATACCATTATAAAAAATATCAATTGATATAATAGTTACTCTGGTAGGACGATTGATGAGGGGGATTGATCCTGTTTCAAAAAATGTGACATAAATCATTTTACTTTATAGTCATTGTTATAAAGAAAACAATTCATATTAAAATCCCCAAGCAAAATATTTTTTTTCATTTCGGCATCGCCTTTTTAATGATATTACGCATTGATTGGTTAGTTTGAACATTATTAGTTTTTCAAAGCTCCATTTACCAAGCGTATTTCATGCAAATCCATAGTTTACTGTATTATCGTTTACTTCATTTTCAACTCAAATCTTTTTACTAGAAATGGTGAATTTTCAAAGAGTTTTATGCTCATTTAACAAAAAGAACTAACGAATAAACATTTTCACAACTATTTCATTATATCCTTTATTTCAATTTACTCTGGTTTGTTGTTACATTTTTAGTATTTAAAAGTTTTAAGTTAAAAAAAAGTATTGAAGAACAAAACTTCATTAGTTTTAAATGGAACTTATATGGTATTTTATAAAAATATTCTAAAAAACTGGTAACGGGGTTGGTAAGGAGATTGGGCAATTAGAATCTCGTCTTCAAAAATGGTACCTCAAAACCTTGCTTTCTTTACCAGAACAGATCAAACCCGGTGCACGTGAAGAGGTCTGTTGTAAGACGACGATTTTATATATTTTATATTCCTGTCTGTCTCCCTAAGAGTATATGTTTCTGTATTTTATAAAAAAAAATTAACATTAGTTTGTTAACTAAAATTTGGTTATTATTTAATAATTCCAATAGTTATGATGATATTCCAATTGTAAAATATGATGATTTAAAGCATTTATTTCCTTAATGGTTGGCCATGTGTTGTTAAAGTGATACAAATGAACTGCTTTTTATATGTTTTTAAGATTTATAGGCTTTCTTTTGAAAATATATGATATTTTTAAACACCGAAAAAATTTATTTAGGAAAAGCCTTGTGCTTAAAATGGGTTTTGAAAAAGTGGTTATCATAGATGCCAAAGGGCATTTATTGGGAAGATTATCTTCAGTAATTGCTAAAGCAATACTTCAAGGACAGAGAGTTGTTGTTGTAAGATGTGAATCAATTAACATAAGTGGAAACTTTTACAGGTATTCTTTTTAAATCTTTTTTTCCTATCGTGTACTGAGTATATTGATAAACTTTAGTGAATTTACTAGTTGTTTTTTTTATGTTTTTGAATTTTTTATTTACAGTTGTTGTATTTATATTATATTTTAATCAGTAAATAATTTTAATTTATGGTTTAAGGTAATAAATGGTAATAGCAGTTTTAATTACTTTTATAGATAAGTTATTATTCAATAAGATGAGTTTTCTTAAATATTTATCAATCACAAAGTTGATTTGATTGTGGAACAAATAAACCCAATATGACAGAATAAGTTGCACAAAACTATTTCATAATACAAAGTAGTCATTTTTATTATGGTCTGAAAAAGTCCTGGAAAAACGCCCCTCCTAGCAATAGTTCCTGGAACTTTTTTCTAATATAATTCAATATTTTATTATGTTTTACTTATAGAAAGTTATTAGTTTAGCATAGATTATATTTAATAGTTATGTATTTACTGTTATTATTTGGAGTTATTTAGTTGTATATTTACTATTTATTTAAAACTTTTGTTTAATGTTGCTGTCAGTATTATTAATATCTACTATTTATTTAGTTATTTTTCATTTTCATATTTTTGTTTAAATCAACATTTTTTTTTTTTATCAAGAAAAGATCAATATATCCTTTATATTAACCCAAAGTTATTCTTTAAAAGTCCTGGAAATATCATGGAATTTAGAATTAGATATTGACTGGTAAATCTGCACTTTAAAGGTCTAAATTAATTTTCTTTGTCAGTGGAAACTTTTTAAACATTAATGAATATTTTTAGGCTTCAGTACATATCTTTTAGCCTGCTGCTAAAGTGTCTATGGGCAAGATAATACAATGAAATAAGCAAACAAAAAAATTGTTTTGGGCCACTTGACAGCAGATTTACTATCTGGCAACCATGTAATAATACTATGATATAAGATATTATTATATAATATAAGTTAATGATACATTAATGTATATGATATAGAATAATAAAATTAATAAATAGAAAAATATTATTAAAAAAATTTTAATGAGATTAAAAACATGCTGTTTTGTGAAACCACATTAATAAATTTATTTTAATGTTTATTAAATGTATATTTTTAGTAACGTTTAGTAAGATAATCTTGAAAAAATATTATTGAATAGATAACCTAGTTGGTAGTTAGTGGCTGTAATCATATCTAGGCATTTTGTATGTTCAACTGTAAAAAAAACAACAAACATAATATGTTGGTTGTAATTATTTTAAAGTTACTATTATTGCACATAAGTGTCTATAAACTGTAAAATGTGTTTAATTTTGTCTCTACTTTATTAAAAAAAGCTATTTTTTAAAAATATTTTTTATACAACAATGCTGCAAACAACCATTAATTAACTTAAAAGTTAGCAACAACAACAAAATTTGAATGTTAAGTTGCATTTTAAATGAGGTTGAGTTTCAACTGATGAAACAAGTGATATTAGCTTATTTATGCAGCTTAATAGTAGTAGTCTTAGTTAAGAGTCTTATGATGGGACAGAGACTCAAGCATAGCAGCTAGAGCAGTTTCAACTACATTTGCAATGCATCTATAGATTTTGTCTAAAAGAGAAAGCACTTTATTAAAAAAACCAGACCAAATATGACAAAAGTACTCTATATAAGAGCAAGACATACAAAGGCAGAAAAGTAGAATCCGGGTCTAAAAATATGACAAAAAATTGATTAATGTTGATGAGAGGATCAGTAGTGAATGGTAATTCAAGAAAACATAAAGGAGTAGACTCATTAGTTTAATTGTTTATCAATATAGAATCTATTATTAATTATATTATATAAAATATATATATATAATATATATTATATAAAATATAAAATTTTAACAGTACAACCCTCACTACTATAGCTATGAAACTTAATTTGCAACAGTTTTTTTAACATTATAATTATAGTTTTTTTTTGCTCTTATGTATTAAGTCAAGTGTTGTATGAAATGGAACATGTTTTTAATTAATCTCGTTTTTACATTTGATAATTTTATTGATTTGTTGTCATGATTATTTTTTAACAAAAAAAAACTTTTTTTTTTAGAAACAAACTCAAAGTTTTAGATTATTTGAGAAAACGAATGAATACAAACCCATCTAGAGGTCCATATCATTTTCGAGCTCCTAGTAAACGATTATTTAAGGCAGTCCGTGGAATGATTCCTCATAAAACTAAACGTGGAATGGAAGCACTCAATCGCCTTAAGGTCTTTGATGGTGTTCCTCCTCCTTATGATAGAATGAAGAGAATGGTTGTTCCTTCAGCTCTTAGAGTTGTTAAATTAGCACCTGGTTAGTTTGTAATACTATTAAGTAATACTATTCATAAATTTTAAAGCCAAATTAAATGTTTTCTGGTCAATAAAATTTTATATTAGTTCATTCTAATTTTATTAAAATTGATTTGCTTAGGACGTAAATATTGCACACTAGCACGTTTATCATCAGAAACCGGCTGGAAATACCAAGCTATTATTGAGACTCTTGAGGCAAAACGCAAAGTTAAATCAGAAATTTACTACAAAGCAAAGAAAGCTGCCCTTAAAGCTAGAGCTAACGCGGAAAAACAAATTGTATCTGCTTAAATGGAATAAAATGTTAGAACCAATGTGTTGCTTTGTTATTGTTCAAGTACTTGCTAATATTTATAATAAGTTTTAAACATGATTTTATCATGTAAAATGTCCCATGGTTTAAAAATGTTTAGGTGTTAACTTGATTAAAAAAATTATTAAATAGCAGGTCTTGTACCACATGATTTATGCAAGATTTAATATTTTATAATTATTATTAATATGTTAATATTAATATAAGTTATATTGCTTACATTGTTTGATTTTGTTTTTGAGGGAAATTATTTCATATTTTTAATAAAATAATGCAAGAAGAAAAGATATCAGATAATGGGAACGAGTATCGTGAATCTCTCCTTTCTTTGATGAAAAAAAAGTAAGATATTTTAACAAAATATATATATATTTATTGATAAAGAAATATAAAAAATTTTTATTTTAAATTTTTTTTTTTTTTTTTTTTTTTTTTTTTTTTTTCATATTTGTTAAAGCAATAACTTATGTTTAATGTCCATGGCTCTGCAATTGTGTGTTTTTGATTTAACAAATTCATTTAAAAAAATTTTACAACCAAGGTTTTATTTCTATGCCTACACCCACAATGAATTAGATCACAGTTTTCCCTCTTAGGTAAGTTACCTTTACATTTAACAAGCCTTAATTGTCTTAAAATCTAATGTTAGGTGCCGTGACTAGAGCTTATAAAAATAATTAAAAATTTGTATCCTAATTTCTGTAATATATTTATCAGAAACTTTGACTAAGAAAGTTCTTGTGTTAAGCTTGGAACTACTAATGGGTCTGGTGGTGTTTGAACTCCTGCCTACAAAATTACTTTTGTTTTAAAAAGTTAATCAAAAGTTTGAAAAAAGTACACTTAGTAATTACGTTACAGTTATTACATTTTTATAATTGAAATAAACTATGATTGTTTATTAAAAATTTATTAGAAGTTGTTACTTTATTTAAAAGTGTTAAAGGACATTTCAAAACATTAAAAAAAGTTTTAGTTATTAATTTCAAACACAATTAAAATAATTTTTAACTTAGCGTTTTAGTTTTTGAGTGTTATTTTTAATTTTTATAATTGAAATAAATTAAGCTTATTTTTGTTTTGGCTCATTTGTTCAAAATTTTTAAAAATGTTAACAAGTCAAGTTAAAAATGTTAACAAGTCAAGTTATCAAAATAAATTATTACATGAATGATCAGTAATAGTGTTGTTGTATTGCATTCCATTCCTTAAAAAGTCTCTGTATATACGTTTTTATGGATTGCAGCAAGAAGTAGTAGTAGGTTTATAATGCCTTTGAAATCCTATTTTTCTAAATTTCTAAAAGATTATACAAAAATATGCAACATAATTTTCTTGTTCTTAAATTTCTTGTATCTGTTCCTCCTTCATTCTAGAAATTATTTTGCTCAGCAATTTCTTTTTTTAAATTTTTTTTATGCAAGTGTTTAGTTTCATCTAAAGCTCTGGTAAATATGTTTATTTAAAAAATCATTAAAAATAAATTATAAAAAATTGATTAAATAACTAATAGAAAAAAAAAATATGTTTACTTATGTCCAATTAGCAACCAAATAGTAGTTTTGAGCTAGTTGAATCTTTAAATTCTCCTATGTGTGTGATTTTTTTATGGTAAAATATTATTAAGTAGCTAAAATAGACAGTTACATACTGAGTACTGCATTTAAATCAGAAATTTTTGTTTGTAGTATACTCTAAAAATATATTAAATTTTGATTGTATTATATGTACCACGTACATATAATATTATAATATGTTAAATACAACTAACTATTGATGTTTAAGAATATGTAAATACAGTTTGCAAATCCAATTTTACTTTACCAGTAGCATCATAATATGCTTCTGGATATACAATTTTGGAAAAGATTTCAAATTTTTGCTGTGTATAATTCTAATTATAGTTGTACAATAACTTAAAGTTGAGACATTAAGGTTTATGCCACTTATTTATGTTAATAATATAGATTTATGTTAATAATATATATGCTCCATTATCACTTTCCCATTTATGTTAGTAATGTATATAAATGGTCATTCAATTTTGGTAGATTAAGTCTTAGTTTTGATATAAATGTATACTTTGTATATGTTTAATAAAACTAGAAACATACTAATACAATGCTGTGTTATTTTTTAATAAGGTTTTGTTTTTATTTAAATTTCTGCAATTAGTTTTTAGTTTACAGAAAATTAAAAATTATATTTAAAGTTCTATGCTGGTTAAAAAAAGCTCAAATTTCTGGCATTTCAGTTAGTTGTAGTGAGTTAAGAGTTTTATTGTAGATATAACATTTTGTATTCTTAATATTTATTTTCTTCGTAAGTCTAAAACTTTAACCAAAATGAGTTTTTGCCCCATGATTACAAAAAACTTAGATTTTAACTGTTTACAATGAATCCTTAATTTTCTTGAGGACATTCTTTGTAAATGCTATGAGTTACTTTGCAAATTTTTTGCAGTTTAGAGAAATTTTATTTATTTGGTGATAACCTGGAACTTCTTTTAAACCTTATTTGGATTTACAAGGATTTTAATGTTGGTTAACCATATAAATAAATTGACAAATGTTCAATGAAAGTGTTTTATCTTATTCTTTGTTATGTCATATTTTGGGGGTAAAATCACTAAGTTTAAATAACCATGGGCTTCAAAAAATGTCCCTTTTTTTTAGCCTGACTTCTGATATCAAATCAGCAGATGTTTATATGTTACAAGTACCTAAGAAGGCATGTTATTTTGTTTGTTTGATTTAAAACGTTTTGGTTAGGCTTCCTATTTTAAATAGTGGTTCTGTAGTTAGTTCTAAGATTTTTATAATATTAACTGAAATTTAAGTATTCTAATGTAGACAGAATCGTGTTGGACATCCCCTCTTACTTTGGTTAAAGAAAAAAAGCAAGATATTAATAAAGTATGTTCTTATTGTAATTATTTAAGGTATATTATACATGCTATTAAATAATTATAAAAATTAAGATTTATATTAGTTTTATTAGATTTATTTGTCATTTAATATTAAACCTTTGTCTGCATGTTTGTTGAAAATTTTAAATTGTTCTGTTTAACTTCAGCATTTTTGTTAATTAGTTTCGATCATTGACAGAATTTGCAGATCGTATAAATTTATCATTAAAATGCAAAGCTGTACCTCAAAAACGCAAGCATAGCAATTCTGCTGATGTTCCAGAAAATAAATGCAAGGATAAAAATTCTAATGTTCCTGCAAATGTAAGTATTGTTTTACAAGATAACAACAAGAGACCCTTAGTTTTTCGATTTAACTTGTTTTGTTACAAAAAAAGGTGTATAATAGTTAAACTCTTTCAAGAAACATTGATATAAATTTAGCAAAAGTTTAATTATGGTATTGTCGCATAAAAGTTTATTTATGGTATTGTCGCATGTTTGCATACTACGTTTCATACTCATGTCATTTGGTGTGTGTTAAAAATAGTTGTTGTAAAATAAAATAAAGCATTCTTGTATATGATACATGTGAAGCATTAAATTCAATTACTTGATGCACATGGCTTGAATTAAGTGATTAAAAATTACAATATCTAGAAATATTTCCGGTCATTAAATTCTCGGTTTATTGAAAATTGTGAACCAATGATATTATATGACTAGATGTATAACTTATGGGATTTTATTGGACAAAAAATAAAGCTGCTTTTTTTTGTTTATAACAATAGTCTGCCATTTGTAAAAAGCTGAAGCTGATGCGTGGAGTAAAAGTTAAAAATGCAAGTCAAAAGTTCCCAATTAATTTAAGTTACTAATTTGAACAAAAAATTATGCATTTCTATATTATTAATTTTAAATACGACAACTTTTGCACTTAAAAAAATGTTTTTCTACAATTAAAATTTTCATAAGATTTTTTTTTTTTTTTTTTTTTTTTTTTTTTTTTTTTTTTATTTTGCTTTTCAGTTCATTCAAATTAACTTTTTTGAATATTAAAAATTCCTTTTTGTAAATGAAATAATTTCTGAGATTTTCATTAAGTCAAATAACTCATCTATATACATAAATAGTACTTAAATTTAAAATATATTTGCTTTATTTAGCCAAAAAAAAAAGTTAAAAATATTTGGTTATAAATTTAATCTGTCATTTGTAAAAAGTGCTAAAACAGCTTCACTTTTTGGATCAAAGTTAGACATCTAGTTTATAAAATATATGAACACTGTTTTAATAAAATGATCAATTTGCCAATTGCCAAAAATAAAAATAAAAGAAACAAAAAAAATTTAATACTGCAAAAATAATAACAGTTAAAACTTTTTTTTAATCCAAGTATTTATAATAAACTTTTTCTTAACTTTTTTTTTAATTTATAATTAAAAAAAAGTAATAACTTCAGGTTCAAAAAATATGCATAAGCTTTTTGTGCATTGTATAAAACATTTAAATCAACTTTAATTTAGAGGGTAAGAAATTGAGAAATTATTAATTTAAAATGTTTTTATTTCACAATTCCTTTTATTTTAAATATTTTATCATTGCTAAACTCCTTTAGGCTGTTATGATAAGCAGTTGCTTTTAAATGATTATATTGCTTTATATTGTGCTTTATTTTTACAATTTTATCTGATGAGTTAAAATATTTTTAATGTTTAAATCAAGTTTAAATATTTAAAATAAAAGGAATTGTAAAATAAAATTATTCAAATTAATAATTTCTCAATTTGTTTCCCTCTTAAAAAAATTAATTATAATGTTTTATATAATGCGCAAATAGCTTTTTTTTTTAATAATAATAACAATAGCAGGCCTCGGCAGGAAGCAAGGCTTGTTATGTTGCATGCATTGATAAAAGCATGCGAAGTTCATATAAATAAATCCATTTGCAATTACTTTAAAAACCATGCTTAATGATTGCTATTGCTTTTTTCTATAGCGTGCTTTTTTTTTTTTCTTTTTTTCTCTAAGTGAAGTAATGTTTATTTACATATTAAAAACACTTAAAATGTTTGAAAAGAAGAATTAAATTTTGCTGAAATATATATGATCTAATAGAATATATTTTTATATATTAATATGTTTATTATAGTTTTTTTATTTTTTATTGTGCATCAATGTGATATTTTTATTATATTTAACTTATTAGTATAATATGATATTTTAAAAAGTTTTAAAAAAGAAATGTCAAACAACATATTTTATTTTTAGCTTCTTTCAATTTTAATTTTTTCAAGTTTGTTAGTTTTTTTTTTTTTTTTTTTCTTTTCTTTTTTCTATTTCATTTGTAAAGAAACTTAGCGAACTTAGTTCAGAAAAGTTTATTATTTAGTATCAACGGATTTACAATTGTTAGGTCATTGCATATTATCATTTTTTTTCTGCGCACTTTGCAAATGTGTGAAAAAATGTTTTAAAGAAATAAAAATCAAATTCAATTAGCATCATTGATATATCTATTAACTTATTAGCTAAAATAAAAATAATTTGAAATAAAACTTCCTTAATATGACATCTTTTAAATTAGATGTGTGTCGTTAAATAAAGATACAAATGTCAATCTTCATTAAAAAACAATTAGGCTTGCCCTGGGCTTGTAACAAGCATCAAACCAAAATTTTGTAATTAATAAGCAATTTTTTAATGAATGAACAGATAGCTCTCACATAAACCCAAAGCTCTTCTAAGAAGCTGTTTCAAGGAGCAGCTTGCCATGTTTGTTTTAAGAGCTATTGCACTGATCTATTCCTGCCAAGGCCTGCAATAGCAATTATGATATGGTTTCATAATAAAATTTTGCATCATTCAAGATCAGTATAAATATTGTATATTTAATAACATCTATTAAGTTAACTGTATTTAAAAGCTAAATATTTAAGGACCAGTAACATTTCCAGATATTGCAATTCGCAATCAATTCAAGCCCTGATGCATAAAATAATTTTTTTTTTATAAAGTGTTAATACTATTTTATCATTAATCTGCAATGTTTTTTTGTTCTAATTATTTACATTTTCCCTAGAATATACCCAGCTTGTATAATGAAGTCTTAATAGAAGCAGCTTTGAAAAGGTGTTTAGCTGATAAAGCATTTTGGTCAGAATCAGGCCTTATTTCTCTTATAGAAAATTGTTTTATCACACAAAGGTATCAAGTTAAAATATTACTATTTCATATTTATGTAAACAAGTTAAATCAAAGATTTATCCAAAATAATAATATTTTTTTCAGTGCCATGTTATCTAATGTTGATTTATTATAATTGGCCAATTCTTATAATTTTATATCAGTTTTTTATTTTTTTGTTTTTTGGGTGATTTCAATTTAAGTTATTTCAAACATTTTGACATTTTAAACTTAGCCTTTTTAGTATAATAACACTATAATAAAGTGACTTCCTAATAGGTATTTGTTTTCACAAAAAGTTTTTTGCTTTTATTGTACCCATAATTAACAGTTGGACCTAGAATTTGTCTTAACTTTAGGGTGTTTTGATGGCTAGATCTATTTTATACGCAGTAAATTTATGTCTATTCAATCAAACCCTTTAGAGTTAAATCTCAGTGATAGTTCTTCATCTAAAATTAATTACATTGTTTCCTAATATTTTCTAATTAGTTAAATACAATCTTAATCTAGCACTTGGCGTAGTTATGTCGATTTTCAAACATTACAGTTTCTGTATATGTTGCTGACTCCAACATTTCTGTTTAATAAATCGTGTCTTTATAAATTATAAAGCGATAAAAAAATAATAAAATTTTAGAAGTTTTCTGTAACAAAACAAATGTTAATAACAAAAACCCTGAATAAATTTTTTTTCAAATTTATCTTGTAAAAATCACAATTGCTTTTCCAAATTTAAATAAGATTATGAAGACATTTTTTTAGGTAAAATAAACGTTTAATATTTAGATTTGTTATTGTTGCTTATTGGCAGTTTTATTATTATAAGCTCTTACTGTTACTCTTAATTTATTGTAAAAATTAGTAGATTTTTTTTTTTTTTTTAAACTGTGTGTGTGCATGTATTTACATACATACACACATATATATATATACATTTTTATGTATATGTGTGTAAATACGAGTCATTTTTTTTAAGTTGTTCAAATTAACAAAAACGTGCTCACCAATGTTTTTGTGGCCAAGTGCAAAGACTAAACGGAGAAGACTATATATCATATATGTTAAAAAATAGTAATAAGAAAATATAGTATTGTCTTCTCTGTTATATTTATATAAAGTCTTTACGTACTTGCCCACGCACCTACAAAAACATCAGCAAGTGCTCAAAAAAGTGCTTGCCAAAAATAAGTATTTTGTTTTAAATTGCAACAAAAGTTTTTTCACTTACAAAGATAAATATGTATATATATCATATACACATTGTTCCTGTATGTGAAACTTGGTGTATTTAGATATATTTCTAAATCTAATATTTCTTAATTATCATACTATCTTTCTAATTATATATATTATGTTAATTTTCAGGTTGTGTGATACTATGTTGGAATTAATATTAAAATATCACTTTGTTGAAGTTTTTCAAGTTATAAAAAAATGTAAACTTGTTTTAACATCAAAGCAGATAGTTGCTGTTTTAAAGTTCTTGTTGAGGTAAAGTGTTTTGTAGGTTTTTGTTTAAATTAGTAGATTTCTGCATTCTGTGTAGTTGAATGCACTTTCAATGGGCATTTCAACAAGGATGAATGCAATAGTAAATAAAATAGTAATTTCTTAAACAAAACTTTGTTTGAAGTTTTTAAAATACTGTTTAACACTTTATAAGATTTAGTTTTAACTTTTTTGAAAAGTATTTAGTGGTATGTACTAATGTCTACACATTGTCTGTTTGCATATTTTTATGCGTTCTGTGTAATTAATTGGGCTGTATGGTGCTCACATTAACAAGGATGAATGCAAAATTAGTAGTTACAGTTTACTTAGTTACAGTGTTTAATTAATTTAAATATTGGCACACTGAATTGTACAATAATTTGTTTATATTTTCTCAGGGCTTTGTTATGGTTTAATGTATTTTTATGCATTCTGTGTAATTAATTGGGCTGTATGGTGCTCACATTAACAAGGATGAATGCTAAATAAGAAGTTACAGTTGGTTTGGTTGCAAAATTTTATTAATATTATTGTAAACATACAATTGTAAAACATTTTTTTTTATAATTTAATATAATATTTTATTTATGTAAGATATAATTTTATACTACTTAAATTAATTTAATCTTGTAATTAATTTACATTCATATTTTCTTTATTAAATACTAATTTGAGAAATATGTGTGACTTAGATTTTATTTTTTTAGTTCGTATGTCAAACAAGATTTAACTCACCAATCAAAGATAGTGCAAGATGAATTGTATATATTTTTTTTTATTTAATTTTTGATTTTATAAATTAAAATAAGGAACATACAGAATCAGTCAGTAAAATGTATAGAGCAAATGAATGTGTTAAGTGTTTTCATGCTGAAACTTATAAAGAGAATTCCTTTAAACATTTTTATTTTCTTACGTATATTCTGGAGTTTTATGGCCTTTTTATAAATTTGTTTTTAAAATCCTACTTAAGAGTTTTAAATTAAAGTAAAAATATTAAATTTTACACTTTATTAGAATAATTAAGTTAAGAAAATTTTTAGCTTATGATGAAGCTTCACTTATTACATTTAAAATGACTATACCTTTAGTGAATTCCTCGTTTCTGAAGCTATTTGATTATAGCAACTTTTTAAAGATGCTTCTTAAAATAAGTTAATTAAGAAAAAAATACAAGTGTTTGTATTCTTATGATGAAACTTCACTTATGATCTTATGATATTACTTTAGTGAATTCCTCGTTTCTGAAGTCTTTCAATTCAACGCAGTTTTATAATCATATTGTTAAAGTGACTGCAATCATTTTACTCTTTTATTTATTTTGTTTCTATTATACAATTTAAAGTTTTAATGCCTAAAACAAGCATAAAACGGATATATGTTTAAAAAAACAAATACTTAAATTGCATATGAAAATGAAAAAATTAAAAACATTTTAATTAAAAGTTTCTGACAAAATTTGTATAAAGAAATATGTCGTTACTTGAAGCAATTGAGTGTAGTGCTGCTGTTTCTCTTGTTTGTTTTTATCTCCAAAAAGTATTGTTTTTAAAGTACATTGTCTAATAAAGTTGGTTTTACTTAAAAGCTCATGATGAAACTTCACTTATGAACTTTATGATATGTTTTTAGTGAATTCCTCGTTTCTGAAGCATTGTATTTTATAGTGTTAGATATAATGTTATTTTATTTTGTTAATAATATTATATTTGTTTGTTTTATTTGTTTTGTTTTTGCCTGTTATTTTCTTTGAAATTATTTCTGTTTATCAATGATTTACTGAAGTTTTATTTGTGTTTAACATTAATTGAAATTTTTCAAATTATCTAAATCTTGCAAATTTTTCAAGCATTAATTTTTTTTTAATTTTTAATGCTTATCACAAACATCTAACAATAGTTTAGATTTTACTATTTTATTGATATGTTTTTTTATTAAAGTAAATTAAATGTTTCTATTAAAGACTATTTATTGTATAATAAATTTATATGTGCAGGTCTTCTGTTATGCATCTTGATTTTGATGAAGTTACTATGAGGAGTCATTTTAAGTCATTATCAACAAATGAAGCTTCAGTGAGTATTATGGTTTTTAAAAAATATAACAGATTTTCATTCAATATTTAATTAAATTTTTTTATTTCTAGATATTTTTAAAATTTCTCGTTGCTGTTCTAAAAGACTGTTCAACTGCTATAAAAGCAAATGATTTAATTTTTCATAGACATAGCGAAGCCACTGTGAGTGTTAAACTTTGACTTATTAGTTATTTGGTATTTAATAAATAACTTGGTATTATAACTTGAAATAAACTTACAAATAAACTGATGTTTTTATTTTCTTAATTTTAAGGTACTGAAATGGATTGACTCTCTCCTATCAGCGCATCTTTTATCATTTATTGTTTCCACTACTTTTTTTCCAATGGTAGAGGAATTAAGGCAGTTAATTGTGATGCAGGTTAATAGTTATTTTGATTTCTTTAATATTTATTATTTTTTTTTATTTTTGTATTTCTGTGTACTGAATAATTTTACTATTTTCATCAAAATAATGGGCTTTTGCTTTAGAGGCGTTTTCACCGTGACATAGGGTTACTAAAGCCATACTTCGTTTTTCGCGAAAAGCGAATTACGCTAGCGGCTAAACGAAAAGACAAGACTTATTCATTTGAAAACATTCTAATATGAGTTATTATGCAGGGTTGCTTGAAACAATTACCAATTATTGATAGAAGTAATTGGTTAACATTGCCCAAATAATGCTACGAAAATGATTGAGTATCGCCGTTATGTAGAGAAGCTTATGGCGTTCTGACTCAAATTGTATTTGTACCGAACGCAAATCCTTTTGACTATACACACCGCTCGAGTTATTCAAATACGAAGCTTATTTGATTTTGGTGATCAATAGTTATGTTGAATTCGATTTTAGGAATTCTCTAAAAATGTTAAAGACAAATTCAAGAATGTTTATAAATTTATCGATATGTAATGACATTTTCTTGTACCTTGTACCTAGTATGTAATGACATTTTCTTGTACCAATTAATTTATTAAACCGTTCGATAAATTCTCTTCTTTTATATAGTCTCAGATTTTCCTAGAAATCTTATAAGATTTAACTAATACATTTGCTTAATGAAGTCATAAAATATACCATTTCTAATGCTTGATGTTTTTTTTTTCACTCATGGTGCCTCAAGTACCATGTAACAAGTATGTGTATTGCTACTTAATTCAAGCTAAGTAGTTAAATGTAAAGAAAAATCTTTTTTTTATTCTTTACTAAATTGTTTATCTGTAACCTTTTCCTTGTGTTTGGCGTTAGGATGACGAACATAAGGAAAGGATTACTGATTAACAATTTAGTAAAGAAGAGAAAGCAAAGATTTTTCTTTGTTCTATTAGGTTTCAAACCTATTTAATTCAGATTGTACTAAAGCTTGCTTCAGATAAATGGTACCCTGCTATAAACTGAACTTTAAAATCAAGTATAAATATTTCACGTATTTTCGAAAAAGTCATTACAGCTTAGTTCCTAGTAAAAATATAACAACTAAAAAAATTGGTTCGTCGCATGCGCAAACCAATCAAATTTTAAATATTATAACACGTGATGTCAACAGTAAAAAAAAAAGCGAAAACGTCGTTTTTTAAGAAACAAAAACAAAATTCCTTACCTGGCGTTCTTATTAGTTTTATATGAACTTTTTTATAATTGGCAAGCATGAGTAAATTCATCAAACAAGGAGCAAGACTGATAAAAAAATGACCAGACAAAACTAAATCGAGAATTTACAAGTATAAATTTTCACTGTCAATTGCGAAAGTTACACTTCACAAGAATGTTTATCTTTATTTTTGTGTAAAACCCTACATAGAGTTAAACCTGCTGTTCGTTCTTGCAGTAACAGTTTTTTTTAATAGAAATGTTCATGTCAGAGTTTAATATTTATTTTCTTATACTTTCTTGTAAAAAAAATCTTATAAAATAATTATATAACAAAATGATACCACATCTTACATATAAAGACAAAAGTGGTAATATTAATGCAGGAAAGAAATTTTCACATGCTTTAAAGTAGAAAGCATGCTAAAAAAGTAATAACTGCTTTTTGTTAAACATTCAGCGTAAACTTATTGCTGACAACGAAATATTTATAACTATTTTTATTGCTGACAACGAAAAAAAAGTAAAACAGCGTTTCGTCATAGCGAAAAAATTCGCTTCGCACGAATATTTCGTCTTGTGGAAAACGGCCTTAAAAATTCATATAAAAAATTTTATACATTGGAGGCCGGTGCAATCGGGGGTTGGGAATACGTTGTTTCAAAGTTCAACCAATTAGTTTTCATACTATTAGTCAGCAAATTTTGTACTGGTAACACTATACTGCAGGTCTTGCCAACGCGCAAAAAAAGTATTTCACTGGGGGCCTATTTTAAACCGTACTTAACTATAATTGCCATTTTAGCGATATTGAAATATGGGTAAAAAGTGTTGTATTTATGGCTGTACCACAAATTATTTATGAGCTAAAAAGAAATCTGATAATTTAAAGATCTCAGCATATCGATTTCCTAAAAATGAAGATGAAAAACAAATATGAATGAAAGTAATTCCAAATGCAAATCTAAAGGTAACTAATGAAACTGTAGTTTGTGAGTTGCATTGGCCAATAAATTTTGAAAAACAACAAGTTAGAGGAGAATATCGTCCTAAATTTCCACCATCTGTTTGGCCAGGCATACCTGTCTTGTCAAATTCCCACTCTACCTCCTCCATTACGTTCAACAAATTGTGCCTCTTCATGTATTCGGAATTCTGCTCAAGATGAACTATCAGCCTTTTTAGAAAAAGATAGAGTAACTTTTGCTGAAATGAAAGAAATTCTTCTATGTCATGAAAGAAATTTAGGTGTTCCATCAGTATGTTTTATGATTAATAGCATTATTCATTTGCAATCACAAGCTTATTCAAATGGGGTTCCATATTTTTTAATCAAGATTAGAGACGATTTACATTTTGAAACTTATCACTATGGAGTCAAAATTAAAATTCCTACAATATCTAAAAACAGAGTTTCAAAAATTAATGCATAGTCAATATTAAAAGAAGTCCTACGTTATTTAAAGAGTTTGATTCCTGGAAGAAAAAAAACTGTAATTCAAGAAGATTTAGCTTTTATGGGTACACAGTGTGTTGAAAATAAGATTTATTCTGAAGAAATTATTATTAGATCTTTTCAGTATTTTGCTACATCCAGAAGTTTGTATAATCAATAGCGAACAGATTAACAATTGCCTTCTGTAAGAACTTTGACAACAATAACTTCAAAAGTTTCTAAATTAAACAAAAAACTTTTTTTCACTAATATCTTTCAATCTATTGAAAAAAAACAGAAAATTTGTTAATTATTGCATGACGAGGTTTATGTTAAAGAAATGTTATTATATCATGGGGGTAAATTGTTCGGAAAAGCAATGGACGATTCAACTTCTCTTGCAAAAGCTGTATTGGGTTTAATGGTTAATTGCTTATTCGGTGGAACATCGTTTATTTCCAAAATGATACCTATAAGTAAATTAAACTCTCAATTTCTTTTCAAACAAATTAGCATTACTATCCAATCAATAAAGGAATCATCGGTTCAAGTCAAAGCCATAATATGTGATGGAAATTGAATTAAACAGGCTTTTTTTAAAATCTTCGAATTCACAGTTCCAAGTAAACCTTGGTTAACTAATGATGGTGTTTATTAATCTTTGATTGTGTACATTTGCTTAAAAACATTAGAAATAATTGGCTTATTGAAAAAACTGGTCAACTTACTTTTTAGAAAAAGGGGTACAAAAAGTAGCACAATGTTATCACCTTTAAAAACTTTATGAACTTGAACCTTAAAACTAAGTTAAATTGTCTAATTTAAATGAGGTTTTAATTTTTCCGAACCTGTTTAAAAATATTTTGTGACAAAACTTACCATGTTTTGATTAATCATCCGGGACTACAGCATATAAAAGAAAGACAAGACACAGCAGATTTTATTAACATTGTTGTATCATGGTGGCAAGTTCTCAATGTTAAAGGAACAGGTGTAGATATTAGATTTAAGTTGGTACACCACCAAATATTCTAAAATGTTCAAACTTAAAAAAACAAAGATGAATTTTACATTAATAAAAGTTTGATTAATTTGGAATGCTATTTTATACTTCATTTTACTTTGCCTCGAATACTTTGACTCAAATTTATCAAAAAACATTCATATTAAGGGGTCCATTCAAAACACGACTACTCTAAATATATTAACATAACATCTATGAAATTTTTTTCATATGTTCTAGACATGTACTCTCGAGTGCCGAATACAACGGGAGTTGGAATAAACGGGTAGGTGGGAATTTTAGTCAAAATCTGAAAAACGGAGGGAGAAGAAGGGTTTAAAAACGGAGGGGAGGGGGGAGATTTTTTCTGAAATTTAATAAACGAGGGGGGGGGGAGGGGACATGCTCAATGGCCCCCCGTTTATTCGGCATGCAAATTATGCATGTTCATGTCAAATACGCATTTGACTTGCGGTCAAAAGCGTATTTTCTAACTAAGATAAAAAGATTGGAGCAGAATTTTAAAATTTTGAAATGTCATTCCCTAGAATATAGTATAATAAACATTTCGTGAAAATTTGAAGTAATTTACACGTTTGCTTCTCAAGATATCATGTTTACAATCAGACCATGTTTCGTAAAATTTGAAAACGGAGAAAAACGCAAAAGAATATTAAATATTCTTATCATTCTTATATAATTTTTTTTTAGTTTGTTAATTTATAAAGAAACTAAAAGATATTTTGTGAATAAACTTTTTATATTATTAATCTACAATAAACTGCCTATCAAATGAGCGAAATAATAAAAATTCACTTTTTTTTTCAATTTTCAAAAAATATTTGGTGTTGTACCACCTTTATAATGAACTTCAAGCAGTAATTAGAGATCCTAATGATAATAAATTAGAAAATATTTTAGATTTCAGAAATATGGCTTTAAAGATGGCTAGAAAGCAAGGTAAAAGGAAGAAACAACTTACTTGTGACACTGCACAATCAATTTATTATACGTGCAATGGTGTTGTTGAATTATGTCGATCATTATTGAATAGCTCACACTAATATGTCATTCTTAGTGATTTTTCTACTGATCCATTGGAAAAAGAGTTTAGCAAATTGCGACAAGATTCCGGAGGTTCATATTTTATAACAGTACAACAGGTAATTGAAAAATTGAATGTTTCAAGAGCCAAGCTTTTACTATCACTTAATAACCCAGTTGTTGACATATGTCTTGATACAACCCATTCTTGTCCAAATTGTGGTTTTTATTGGATGAGTCCTCTGCTGAGATACTTGATAACCTACCAAATCTTGAATCTTTTATTTCTCCTGATACAAAAATGGCACTTATATACATATCATGGTGTTAAAATCGTAAAGATAACGAACTATTAGAAAATGAGCTGCTAGAAAAAACAAGTTTCTACCACCAAATTTTAGTTTGGTTATTATAAAGAAAACATTTTGAGAGTAAAAAGTTCATTGAGTTAACATAAAATTTCTAAGCACATTTTTTGTTTAGTTTTCGCCGTTAAAATAAATAGGCCCCCAGTCAACTAAGCTGTTTGCGCGATGGCAAGGCCTTCAGTATGCAGCCGTGGCGCAGTGGTAGCGCACTTGCCTCAGAAAAGTAAGATCCGCGGTTCAAACCCTGCCTCTGGGCAAGTTTTGCGGCACCTTAATCAACTTAAAAAAAAAAAAAAAAAAAGACCTTCAGTATAGATCGCCGTGACTGGTAAAGATTTGAACGACTTGTTTTTTTGTTTTTTTTTTGCGATTTCAGTCTTTGCAATACCGTGTGATAACATTTTTGTCTAACTTAGTAGATTAAAGTCAAAAGGACTATTAAATCTTACAATCCACAAAAATTTAAAATAAAACTTGAAAATATAGGGAATTTAGTACCGTAAACAATTTGACAAAATACAATAACAAACCAGTCAAAAAAGTGAATAGA